GAAGGAGGGAAGAAGGAAGGAGGGAGGAGAGAGGGAGGAGGGAGGGAGGGAGAGAGGAAGGAAGGAGGATGGAGGGAATGAAGGAAGAAAGGAAATAGTAAAGGAAAACTGAAATCTCACTTGGCATCAGACTTGGGTTGTAGAGAAAATGTCACCTTATTCTCACAACTCTTTCCCTGAAGGGTGTACTTGAGGCAAACTTCTCCTGTTGCCTCTCCTGGCTAAAAATTAGAAAAGAGGAGACATGAGGAAAGGGAGACATCATCAAGAGAAATCGGGGCAGCTCCCCTACCCAACACATTACAATTTCTGACTAGAAACCAGGTAGTTCAGGAGACCAGGCTTCACATGATGGAGTGGGGAGGCTGAATCTGCCCGGCAAGTGCCCAGAGCAGAGCTCAGGGCAGTAGCTGCTCTGGCCAGAGAAACAAGCAAGAGTGGAGTCTCACCGGCATCATCCCAGCCAGCTGCGCGTAGATGATTAACCGCTGGCCCCGAAAGATGACGGTTGGTTCTGGGGACAGCATTTTAGCAGACAGACCAGGAGGCAAATTCCAGCTCAGAGAAACATCCTCTACTACAGGCTGCAGAGAACGTTTCAGGGACCTAAGAGCCTGGTGGAAGGAGGAGAGAGTAAGCGCCGGGAGCAATAATGGTGACAGCGCCTCCTGCTGGTGGGAGGCGCGCACGCACACGGTGCTCCGCAGCACCATGCACGTGCGCCCACTCCACACTATTAGGAGATGGGTGTTACTACTTTTGCTTTACACATGACGAAGCTAAAGCAGAGAAATTTGAAAAGTGAATAAAGTAAATATCTGAGAAAGGAGACCACAGAGAAGCAGAGAAGTAGGCGTCAGATGAGAAATGGCACCAACTGGGAAAGAGGAACTTGGAGATATAACCAGAGGTGGAAGACACCCTCCGTGCATGTACTAATCAAAAGGCGTATCAATTTACCCCCCATTCCAACCCACCAGGCATATTACACTATCCTTCTTGTTCTCTGTGTCATTTGCATGGAGGACAGACTAGGACCAAAGGGGGCCTAAAGCACACACCTGGAATGTCAATCATGACAGTCAAAATTCTTAGTTTCTCAGTTTCTTGTTTTAAACACAAAGCCCTAATCTCTTCCAGCATTTTGTTCCTGGGCCTCCAACTCCTGGGACTAGATGCCATTTCTCCAAAAACTATAATGGACCCTTTATCATAAAGCCAAAAGTAGCCCCATTAAGCATGTAGCCCAGCGCCTTGGGGATATGAGGAAGTGAGCCCCAGGGGCAGTATGTCGCCTGTGCTCTTTAGCGGGGCACCTCTGCCCCACCCTCTCGCTGGATCACCGCCTCCGGACACAGGGCCTGCCCCTCACCTTTGACTGCATCCTGTCCTTGCCTGTGATAAATTCTGCCGTGCCTCCTGCTACCCGGGCAATGCCTTTTATCAGGCTGGTGGAGGCTCCTTCTCCAATACCAAACGAGAAACATCTGCAATTGTAAAACAGACAGAAGTCAGAGACGGGGTCTAACAGGTGAAATTATAAAATTAATACATAGTTGTCAAAAACACATAAGGAGATAGCCTACTTCCTTGACCAAAGGCATAATAGCTACCTTTTATTGAGCATATTCTATATTTTAGAAGGCCAAATGCCTTAAACGAATAATGTGATTTAATTGCCCTGGGACTGCTAAGAGGCAGGCTTCTGTTTCACTTTGCAGATAAGAAACGGAGGCCAAAAGGATTTTAGAACTGTCCAAGATCACACCCCTACCGAATGGTACGATGGAATTTGAGTGCTGCCTTGTTTGACTCCAAGATACCCCTGGCAAACCATTATATATTATACTGCTTCTAGAAGCAGAAAAAAACAAAAAATAGGACTATGTCCTCATCAATTATTTTAATAATCAATCCAAAGAATGGGTCAATCAGAAAGTGGGAGTTAAGAAAAAACAAACACTACCATCAGTGCTTGACTGCCATTGTTCTGGAAGCAGGTCTGCCCTGGCAGGGCTAGTTAGGGTGGGAAACAGTGCCTCCTGCTCCTCTAGCCAGAGAGCTCTCTCCCTGCCTGAGTTCATGTGCACCAAAACGCTTTTTAATCACAATATAGCTCCCCAAACAGAACTGCCTATAAACAGATAATGTGCTGGTAAGGCTAATTCAAGAAATTTTGGAAGGCACGACAAGGACAGTTCTCATTGTAAATTAATACCCGTTCTTTGGCTTATGTAGCCCTCTCTTCAGTGTGAATCATCATCCCCATATCCAATGACATCAGCATCAGGACTGATGCTCTAAACTTGTAAGGCTACGAACCAGACTTCTAACTACTGTGACTTAACTGTGACAATGCTCCCTAGAGATCACAGCCTACAAGCATCTTGATTTATCACATTTAGATTTCCCACAAGCTTTTGAACTGAGGCCTACGTTCTTTATGGTTCGTAAAGTACTTTGATGCACGTTTAAGTGGTTTTTTTGTATAAAAGTAAAGCTAAACAATATTTATTGATAGCTAACTATATGCCTAGAACTTACTTGCTTCGCGTGGATGACAGTAATACCGATAATAATTACAATAATGGCAGAACTTTATGTACCACTTACTTTGTGTCAAGCACAGTTCCTAATGCTTGCCTTAGGCATACTCTTTTAACCTCATAGTAAACCTATAAGGTAAACTATTATGTCTATTTTCAAGTCAGGAAACTGAGGCTTAGAGAATTTAGTTGATTTGTCCAAACATCTGAGAAGCAGGAAAACTGGAATGTAAATATATGACCTCTGACTTAAAGTATAACACCCTAGGAGAGTTCTGCTCACAGCAATGCCAGGCTAAGTTGTTCCAAGCCAGTAGAGAACTAGAAAAGTTGTATACAATATTTCTAATAATCTCTTTGAAAACATCAAAAGGCTATCAAGTCAATAAAAATCTATGGGCTGAGAACTGGGAGGGGGGAGCGAAGCCAAGAGAGGTGGTATCTGGTATCCCTTTATACTACTTGGAGCAAGTGCCAAGTTCAAACTCATAACTGAATGGTTAAAAAGCTAAGCAGTTTCAGATTTGGGCTTTCCAAAGAGAAAGTGCCCTGGTAGATACTCAGCGTTTTTCATAAAAGTCTGTAGAACTATACCCTAGAGGCAGAGGTGAATCTGAAATAAACCAGCCATCTAATGACTAATGCTCATTAGTCTCTAACTGGATGAAGATTATCCGCTTCTTGTCAGAAGTAAAAAGCAAATCTTCTCAGGGGCAAGGTAACATCACCTAGAGGCTCAAAACATTTCTAGAATTTTTATATAAAACATCTGAAAATTAATGATGAAACAGAAAACCCCCAAATATTAGAAAAATATACACTATACTTCTGAATAACATAGGCTTTATAAAGAAATCATAATGATAATTAGAAAATAGTGAATACCAATGGAAAATGACATCCAAATTTAGGATTCAGCTACGGATATGTTTAAATGTGCAGTTCTAAATACACACATCAGAGAAAGAAGTCTAAAAATCAACCACCTGAGCATCCTGCTCCAGATCGTAGGAAAAGAACAGCCAATAAACCCAAAAAGTTTAAAGAAAAGGAAGATAGGAGCAAATGTTAGTCATACAGAAAACAATCATACAATAGAGAGGATACACAAAAAGTGCTGGGGTTTTTTTAAAGATCATTAAAATTGACAAACATTTAGGGCAAGGAAAAAACTATAGAGAAGGCACAAATAGCCAACACCAGGAATAAACGGGGAATATTACCTCCGATTCGACAAAACTTAGTAACAGTGTCTGGCAACATCAGAGACAACGTCATGCAAAGCAATTTGAAAATTTAGATAAAATATACAAACTCCCATAAGAATCAAGAACATATAAAAATATGAATAGTTCTATTTCAATAAAGAGATTTAAAAACCTTCCCACAGAAAAAAATCTGGCAACATCTGGTACACATGAGAGAAAATCTTTCAGATAATAGAAAAACAGGCCATTATTCTCAGCTCACTATCTGATGCCATTGCAATGCTGACATTAAAACCCAACAAGAATATTATAAGAAAAAAAATGCATGTCAATATTTCTCATGAAAACAGATTTTTAAATCCCAAACAATTATTAGTCAACTGAATCAAAAATATATGGAAAATGTAAATAGATCACAATTAATTTGGATGTGTGTTTTTTTTTTCAGAAATGCAAGTTTGGTCTAACATTTAACAACAGTCATTATAATTAACACGTTAAAAGAATAAAGGATAGCCCAGGCGGGCGTGGCTCAGCAGTTGAGCATTGGTGTAGGGTCCGGGAGGTCTCGGTTGGACCCCCAGTCAGGGCACAGGCGCAGGGTTGGGGCTCGATCCCCAGTCGCGGGCGTGCAGGAGGCAGCTGGTCAATGACTCTCTCTCATCATGGATGTTTCTCTCTCTCTCTCCCTTTCCCTTCCTCTCTCTGAAATCAATAAAGATATATATATTTTTTAAAATACTACTTAAATTAGCATCAAAAACCTAAGAAAAAAAATCCAATAAAAAATTCATGAAGAACTCTATGCAGAGACTTATAAAATATTACAGAGAGTTTCTGGTGTGTTGTTAAAGAAAGAAGTAAATTTACTGATTTTGTGGGGAACCAGGGTTCTCGTCATGGAGAAAAAAAATACAAATATAGAATAGGAAAAAAAAGAATGCTATGTTGTTACCTTGGAAATAGAAGGATCAGTAAGAATGTGTGTTTTTCTTAATCATTTGCTAGTTCTGTCTGCCAAAAATGCCTATAATAAATAACAAGCCAGTAGTAAAGAGCTACACCTGTCACTCAAACACTGACTTCTATTTATCATGTGCACTGATAGGAACAAGGCCTATTGGAGAAATGACTGGCCACCCAATTGGGAATGTACAGGTGAGTCTGAAACATTTTTTAAGAAAAGAAGGAATATTCATAAACCAAAGAAACATGTGAAAAAGACATAGGAGCAAGTTAAAGGGGGCTCCCACTGGCCAGATCTGGAAATTCTGAGAATCTAAATGACAAATGAGAGTAATGAATCTTAAAAAACTGAAAACCAATGAGAGAATTCAAAAGTAGAAAATGACACAGCACAAGGAAGGGAGAGGAGGGAGGAACGATGGTAAAGCTTTTCTTTACAGCAGGATGGCAGCTCATAAGCACGGGAAAGGTGACAGGAATTAAAAATCACCATGNAACATTTAACAACAGTCATTATAATTAACACGTTAAAAGAATAAAGGATAGCCCAGGCGGGCGTGGCTCAGCAGTTGAGCATTGGTGTAGGGTCCGGGAGGTCTCGGTTGGACCCCCAGTCAGGGCACAGGCGCAGGGTTGGGGCTCGATCCCCAGTCGCGGGCGTGCAGGAGGCAGCTGGTCAATGACTCTCTCTCATCATGGATGTTTCTCTCTCTCTCTCCCTTTCCCTTCCTCTCTCTGAAATCAATAAAGATATATATATTTTTTAAAATACTACTTAAATTAGCATCAAAAACCTAAGAAAAAAAATCCAATAAAAAATTCATGAAGAACTCTATGCAGAGACTTATAAAATATTACAGAGAGTTTCTGGTGTGTTGTTAAAGAAAGAAGTAAATTTACTGATTTTGTGGGGAACCAGGGTTCTCGTCATGGAGAAAAAAAATACAAATATAGAATAGGAAAAAAAAGAATGCTATGTTGTTACCTTGGAAATAGAAGGATCAGTAAGAATGTGTGTTTTTCTTAATCATTTGCTAGTTCTGTCTGCCAAAAATGCCTATAATAAATAACAAGCCAGTAGTAAAGAGCTACACCTGTCACTCAAACACTGACTTCTATTTATCATGTGCACTGATAGGAACAAGGCCTATTGGAGAAATGACTGGCCACCCAATTGGGAATGTACAGGTGAGTCTGAAACATTTTTTAAGAAAAGAAGGAATATTCATAAACCAAAGAAACATGTGAAAAAGACATAGGAGCAAGTTAAAGGGGGCTCCCACTGGCCAGATCTGGAAATTCTGAGAATCTAAATGACAAATGAGAGTAATGAATCTTAAAAAACTGAAAACCAATGAGAGAATTCAAAAGTAGAAAATGACACAGCACAAGGAAGGGAGAGGAGGGAGGAACGATGGTAAAGCTTTTCTTTACAGCAGGATGGCAGCTCATAAGCACGGGAAAGGTGACAGGAATTAAAAATCACCATGTTTGCCCGGCCAGGCGTGGCTCAGCGGCTGAGCGTCGACCTGGGATCCAGGCGATCGGGGTTCGATTCCCGGTCAGGGCACATGCCCGGGTTGCGGGCTCGATCAATGACTCTCTCATCATTGATGTTTCTATCTCTCTCTCCCCCTCCTTTCCTCTCTCTGAAATCAATAAAGATATATTTAAAAAAAAAAAAAAATCACCACTTTGTAACCACTGATAGTAACAGCACTTGGGTAACAATCATCAGTGAACCCTCAAACTACTGAGTAAATATCGGCTGAGAACAGGATGTTTACAAAATTTCAAAGTTATCTGTCAGATACCAACTTTAAGTGGTCAATTTTATCACCAATATTCCACTTACTTTTGGAATATTTCTTCCAAAATATTTAAGTTTAATTTAAACAAGTCAAACATAAATTGAGGTTCTATAAAAAGTAAATAGCTAGACCTCTTTCAAAATGTCAGTATTGTGAAAGATAATGGCAAGCTGAGAAATTATCCCAGAGAAGACTAAAAAGACATAACAATGAAATTTAATACTTGTCCTGGGATTTGCTCCTGGAACAAAATGAAAATAAACAGAGAAACTGGTACATATGACTTGCATTTAGATAATGGTTTTATCTCAACATTAAATACTCTGAATTTAGATTTTTTTTTAGATATAAAAAGGTGGTTATTTATCAGAATGTCCTGTTTTTAGAAGATGGGTGCATAATTATTCACCTACATATCTGTGGTTTTCTCTCAAACATTTCAGACAAAAAAATAATAGGTGAAGCAAATGTAGTAAAATGTTGATAACTGGCAGACCTGGGCAAAAGGTATATGAGTGTCTATTGTTCTATTCTTAAAACTTCCCTATAGGTTTAAATTTTTGAAATAAAATATTGGAAACACACATTTAGAAGAATCAAGAAAGACCTAAATAAATGGAAAGATATACCATTTAAATAGAAAAACTCAATAAACACTAAATTCTCCCCAAACTGATCTATAAAGGCAATGAAATTCAAATCAGTAACACAAGATTTCCTTTTTTGGTAAAAATTGGCAAGCCAATTCAAAATACAAACACAGAATGTCAAGAAGACAATCTTGAAAAAGAACAAAGTTCAGGAGTTACTGGAAATTAATATTTATCAGAAAGTTACATTAATGCATATGGTGTAGACCTAGCATATGTCTGGATACACAGAGCAGTGGAGTGGAATAAGGGCTCCAGAAACCATCCACACGTGCAATGTTTATCTGTGACTGAAATGCACTGCACACCAGTGAAGAAAGGAAAAGCTTTTCAATCATGGTAGAGGATAGATTTCATGTCCACATGAAAAGAAAAAAGAAACTTGACCCCACCTCACACAGTGCACAAAAATTAATTCCAGCTGAACTATCTATAGATCTAACTGTAGGAGAAAAAATAATAGAACTTCTAGAAAGTAACAAAGGAAAATAGCTTCATGACCTTAGGTAGGTACAGACTTTTTAATAGGACACACAGAAAAATAAACTGTGTAGAAAAGGACTGAAAAACTAAACTACATTAAAACTAAGAACTATTAATCAAAAAACATCATTTTGAGAGTGAAAAGGAAAGCTATAGAAGAGAAAAATGCATGTCTAAACATATTAGCAAAGTGTTTACATTTAGAAGGCAGAATGAACTACAGATCAGTTAAAAAACTAACGGAAAAATATAAAAGAAATTTTAAGGTACATCACAAAAGAAGACATCCAAGTGGTCAATAAAAATATAAAAAGGTGCTCAACTTCATTAGTCACCAGAAAAATGCAAATTAAAATTGTAATGAGATACCACTATACACCTACAAAATTAGTTAAAATTTAACAAGATAAACAATGCCAAATTTTATATAGGGAATGGGGCAACTGGAACCTTCATACAATACTGGTGTGAATGAAATTAGTATAACTTGGAAAACTGGCATTCCCAATAAATTCCACAACCATGCCAACTCAAAGAAATGCATCTGTGTGCACATATGTGAAAATAAATATGTACATATGCTTATGTATGTGCACTCACAAGTGTGTGCATGCAAAAAATACCTGTACAAGAATGCAAAGATATTCATAAAAGCATTATTTTTACTAGCTAAACCACAGTCTATCAGCAGTAGAACCGATAAATAAATTATGGTTTAACCACCATGTGGAATACTATACACCAATGAAAATTAACTATAGTTTCATGCCAAATATGTGTGAATCTCAATATACTGCTGAGGGAAAGAAGCAAAATACATACAATAAAAACTGACTGTATAACATTTATTTTTATTCAAAAACAAGCAAAAATAATCCATAGTGTTATAACTCAGGAAAGCTATTTCCTCTGGAGAGATAAAAATGGGTAGTAATGAAATTTGGGAAGTGATGGAAAAGAACAGAGTTGGAAAGGTGCTGGTAACATTCTAGTTCCTGACCTGTGCGATGATTACACGTGTGTTCACTCTGATAATCCATCCGCAGTATGCTTTCAATTTGTGTAGCTTTCTGTTTGTTTTAATTTCATAAAATTGTTTATATTAAAAAAAGTCTTAGTATTCAATACTTGTTTCCATTGTGGTTTAGAGGGAATAAGAGACAGAGACAGCACCCTGTTATTGATGTTATTTAGAAAATTGTAACATTTAGTAGTGACGGAAAAAGTGATGTAGAGAAACATTTTGTCAGATGGTAAAAGTAAAATTCTTGAACAATTCTGTCCTCTGAAAGGAATATCAACACTGGACCACGAGGCACGGGATTACACGTGGCTCTACTGGGTCAGTCGCCCAGAAATCTCATAATCCTCATACCTGTGCTTCAGACGGTTGCTTTTCACTTCTCTGATGACACTAAATGTGTCGTCAACTTCTCCATCTGTGAAAACAAAAAGCTGAACACAGAAGACATTCGTCAAGTCTCTACGGAGTTCATTCTGAAAATCCCCAAATCTGCCCTTGAAAACCCAATTAGTTCACGCCAGAGACACCGATGCCTCTTCAGACAGGCCTGAGATCCCTAAGGGTCCACTGGCACTGGCACCAGGTTCTCACATAAGGTTTGTCCCCAACCCCGGGCATTTGAATCACCTGCCCCAACTAGTTCATCTAAGGCTTTTGTGGCAAAAGATCTTCCACCTCCATGATTCACAGCATGGACGAAGAAAGAGGAATTCTACTAAATGCCTCTTGTCTTTTCCTCTTCACTACGTGACAAAAAACTCTGAAATGCGACCCCTATTTCAACAATCCTAAATGAAACTCTGGGCTGTAAATTCCTGAACAGAGGTTGAATCCTCTGTTCCCTTTGGTTAGCTCAGTTCCAGTTCTTACCTGCAGAGGGTGGCCTGGGATGGAAGCTCCACTGTAAATGTTCTTGAGTGGGGTCAAGATTTCCGTGCCCCCTAGGTCAGCCTCCATTAGCTTAACCTTCCTCAGTGCCTCCTCCATGGTCTCCTGAGTGTACTTCACACTCTTCCTGAGAGAAGAGAAACACACTCGGTGACACAGCTACTTGACACTGCCCAGTATCGAGTCCCTGAATTGCGATTAGCCCCACCGTAAACCTCACCTGAAACCCCCAATGCCAAAGCCAGTTCTGCAGTAACCCCTTTAACAATACAGTCCTTTCTTTAGAGTATCTTTCTGAGTTCTCTAGTGCCTTCCTAAGAACTTACTGAAAGAAGGCCTCATGGGAAGATCCAAATCCATAGATGTTGAAATAACAGCCTATAGGCAAACTCTTTAGCAGCCAAATCAGTGTTTCCTGAAAGAAGAGAGTATGAGGAGTGGTGAGGGAGGGTCCTTGCAGACACACAGACCCTGCCAGTCTTCCTCCTGAGGCGTGGGCTTCACCCACATCGGGCCTCCAGACCTCACACCCCAACGCTAGCCTCAGGGTGGCATGTGAGCTGCGGTTCAGCTGGAAACAGACCCAGAGATTCCGATGGACTCTAATTTAACCCTCGAGGCTCATCTTTACTTGAGCAGGTGGCCCGAAAAAGAAAAGAGCTAGTTTTACCTTGGCTGCCTCTATGCGCAGCTGAGAGTTATCCTGATTGCTCATGGGACACTGCATACTTCCCGAGCGGTCCATGAGGAAGATGAATTCTCCACACGTGATTAGTGGCTGAGCTTCTGGGATATTCGGGTAGAAACTCACCATCGCAGATGGATCGCCCATCAAACAACCTACTCAGAAAGAATAAGGACACTGTAAGACGAAAAGGAACTAAAAATTCATACTATGACACCAAGAATCAGCTGCAGTGACTTCACAGGGAGCTGAGAAACCCCAAACCTGAAACACTGCCTGATCTTTATACTCTATCTGCTGGCAAAGGGTTTGAAGCAAGTTATAAACATATGAGATATAGAAGCAAAATAGATATTAAATAGAAGACAAAGGGTAGAGGTTACCAGGAACAAGCAATAATTAAAATGCTATAATTGATGCTAATTTCCTAGCAGCTAGGCAAATTAGTAAAATACATGAAGTTAAAATGTTCCAGCATGTCAGAAGAACCACCCTAACTTATTTGCAGAGAACCATTCTCTTCAAATCAAATCATCAGGAAATTTATCAGGTGGGTCCTTGTTTATGGCTTTCATTGCAGCTTTAAAAAAATGGAGCTCATGTGTGCAACTCTTTCGTTGACAATTTACAAGAGCTGAGAGTGTAAGTGTCTCACACACCGAGGAAAGTCCATCTGCTTTGGGTACGAAGCACTTACTGACGCTCTCCAGAACAAAGAGAGGCACTGGGATGTGTGTTGATAACAGCATCGCCCAAACAATGGTGTGTAGGCGGCCACGGGAGCTGGCCTGTCACCAAGTTGTCAAAGCCACAGCTATGATTTTATCTTGAGGGGCAAGTGAAAACTGAGGCCGGAATTAAAATACTAGTATTAAGATAGAGATGTAATGAGAATGGCTGGTTTATACCAATTCTAGTTTAACAGTTCAGAGAATACAAGAAAACACAGAATCTAATTCCAATATCCTATCTATATTATAGTCATTCCAGGGTTATAGGTTTAAATTCTCAGTAGCCCTGAGGTTCAGTCTGACTATAGGACCTGACTCAGTTTACTCTCTTACCCAAGAACACCGCAATAACCAAACTGCTTCCAAATAAAATGGGAGAGGCATAGCAAATAGTCAATAGCACATTGGTTCAAAGATAACTGTTACATAATCCAGATCTCTGGATATATGGTGGCTGAGTAGCTTTTTCTTAATGGGCAAGGTAGATTCCTTTCCATTCTGAGAGACAGCTGGGTAACAGTGGGGCTCACCCTATACCTGATATGTTAGAAAGGCTGCCATGAGAATGAAGTGAGCTGATATATCTAAACTCTTTAGAACAATGCCAGATACAAAGTAAGCACAATATATGTGTTATCTACTATAATACTTTTGGCTTGGCTCAAATTATTTTCCCCTCCCCAAGTCTCTGCTTCCTCATTTTTAAATGAGGCGTTTCGAACCCTCGCTCTTCTGCTTGCTCAGCTTCATTTTCCCCATCTAAAGAATCAAGGTAGTAAATACCTACATCAAAATTATTTTAAGAATTAAGTGACATAATTCACTTCAGGAACTCAATCTAGGGCTCAACTCAGAGTAAGCTCTTGATAATTTCATAATTATTTAAAGTTCTTAAACAATTATTTGTATTAAATTGTGAATATAATTTTAAGAAAAAACATGTTCTTGCCCGGCCGGGCGTGGCTCAGCGGTTGAGCGTCGACCTAGGATCCAGGCAATCGGGGTTCGATTCCGGGTCAGGGCACATGCCTGGGTTGCGGGTTCGATCAATGACTCTCATCATTGATGTTTCTATCTCTCTCTCCCTCTCCTTTCATCTCTCTGTAATCAATAAAGATGTATTTAAAAACAAAAACAAAAACAAAAACAAAAAACATATTCTTAATATGGTTAAGTACATTCAAAGTTTTTAAAGTCTGTTTTGCAGTTTCATCATGTAGATGAGAGCTGTCTCATTTGGCAGAACTCTAAATGGTTTCAGCGAGCCAAGCTGCCAGTTGTCATTTACTTCTTTGTATGGATGTGAACAGCAAGCCACCTTGGCCAAATACATGATCTGGAGGCAACATTTGGCAGCCCTGCTGGAGGGGTTTACAAGACTTGTAAAGGCTGCCCTGACGTCTCCCGTGGTCTGCACAGCTGGTCACAGGGAACAGATGAGGAATCTGCAAAGCGGCCCACAGAACTGCTTGGAAGGACAGGGACTGAGATCTCAATCTTTACCTTTTAAGATGCAACATTTTAAAACTTTCTCTGGTGGATTAAAATAATCCTGACTAAACACCAGGTCATGCCCTCACCATCGTGGCTCAGTGGTTAGAGCGTCAGCCCATGCATCAAAGGGTCACAGGTTCGACTGCCGATCAAGGACGTGTACCTCGGTTGTAGGTTCGATCCCTGCGTTGGTTAGGGCGCTTGCTTACAGCAATCTACGAGAGTGCCAAATTCACTTCCCCTTTTAAAGTCCAAGGCATTACCAGATTTGGAAATCTTTGATCATTTGAAAAGTGAAAAGGTCACATCAATATTTTTCCTTTATTTTTATTTATATTTGTAGAGACTGATCATTGTCACATACTTGTTAACTAGTTGTGTTTCCCTTATAAATTCTTTTTCATGTCCTTTGTCCAATTATCTGCTAATTCACTTAAATTTACCTGTAAGACACAGTCACATGATATTCATTGACCTGAACCATTTCTGCATGCCATAGTATAAGCTATTTCAGGTTTTTTTACCCACTACTGGATAGAAGGGGGAAAAAAGTGAGGATACATTGAGGGCAATTCCAAGACTAGAGTTACCCCTTTAGGAGGTAACTACAAAGGGAGAAAGAAAATACCGGGCTCTGTTGTAGGCTGCCCCATCTCCACAGCTACACTGGGGGAGTGCACCTCTCTGTAGTAAATCAGGAGTTCCACATCTCGATCAAATTTGTGTCCATCAGCCAAGGAAATCTAAGTTGGGAATAAGCAAAGGAGCCACGTTACAACTATCACTACCTTCTGCCGTGGCTGGGGTGGGAGCTGAGGGCCACAGGAGCCGGGGCAAGAATGGAGAGGCTGCTCTGGAGATTACATAAGGATGAAGGAGCCCAGAGTGATTCCCCCGGGTGAGCAGGGAAAAGGAAGGACCATTTAAGAAAGGCTGAGTGAGGAAGATCAGGACCCAAGATCAGGGTGCTGGCAACAACAGTGTTCCCTTACTACTCACCTGAGCAGAAGTCTTATCTCCAAGGTACTCAACGGGACTCGAGGGACAGTTGCATTGGATCCTCTCGATGCCATGCTGGGAACTGGCGGTGGCAACCATGCTGAGTGTGTAGGGCAGGTCCTTCAAAGGCACTACAGGAGTCTTCACTCTAAGGCTGTCCTCGGGCCCTCCTACAAAAAGTTGCCTTAGTGGTGTTTTCCCTTCCCACACCTTGTAGCACCCCTACAACCTTGAGGGGGTTCTCCCAATGGTGTCAGCCACCACTAGTATTTGAAGAAAGGGAATATTCACCGGACAGCTGGTACCGAGGGTTCAGGATAGCGGGGAGCACATAGCGCAGGGCCCCATCTGCCTCCAGGGGCAGCTCCTGCACGTACTTCAGGGTGAGGGCCGCCTTTGACCCGGGGGGGAGGTTCCCCACATTGCAAGAGAAGACGTCCCTGGAGATATCGTCCTCCTCTAACAGGAAGGCTTGGTGGCCCTGGCTAATGGCATCCTCATAATTGGTGTGGGCCTGAGAACAAGGAAAGAAAGGTGCTACCAAAGGTGACATGCTTGATGAGGGGACGAGTGGCACAGGAAACAAAGACCAGGGGGTGAGGTGGTATCGCAAAGTTCACAGCTGTACCGTGAGTGCCTGAGACTGATTTTCCCTCCAGCGATTTTAGGAAAGTATCAGTTAGGGGGCATGGAGACAAAGCATTCAACACCAACATGTTTGTGAAGCTGCATTTGATGGAGACCCTGCAGAGTAAGCGCTGCGGAGATGCCAAGGGAGGAGATAACGCGCCCGCCCCTAGTACCTCCGTCTTGTCCTGTAACTCTGCGGTAATTCTCTTCCCATCCACCATGGCCTCAAAGCTGTAGACAGCCGAGTCTTCATCCATGGGGAAAACAAAGAAGACCTCCAGAGGAACTTTCCCCTCATTCTCGTAGCTTAAGGTGGCAGACACACCAGCCACAAACTCGCAAACGGACAAGGTCACAGAGATGCTCTTCAGTGGCACTGGAGAGAGACCAGAGTTTAAGAGTTCAGCAAACTTTCCTAGAAGGCCTCCTGCAGCCCAGGCGTTGTGCTAGGTGCCAAAGAGGCAATGGCAAGTGAGAGTCACGCGTCAGGCTTACCTGGCTCCTCTTGTTGGGTTAGTAGGCCACAGGGGCGCACCATGGTGACACAGGGTTACTGTGGAAAAGACACATCATGAATAGAGTGCCAGGCTGAGGATTACCTATTCAAACACCAATACCTTATGTGCTTCTCTCTGGCACAAAAATATATTCAGAGGGTTAATGATGGAACTAGGAGGGAGAAAGAAGCTGAAAAGGGGATAAAGGTGTCAATAGCAAGGCTCCTTCTAAATGCCAGAGCCAGGCGGAAAGTTGAAAGAGTCACTAAGTACCTGCTAAACAGGAAACCTCTGAAACACCCTAAGGCTGGTTCAAACACCAGTTCACTTTTTCTGAAGTGTATCTGTTACATTACTCCTTAGGTATATTCAGTTAGTATAATGAGCTTAACCCCTCTGAACCTCAGCATTCTTTCTAAAATGAAAATCATAGGTATATGCATATATGAATTAATACACATGAAGTCCTCAGAATGGCGCCTGGCCTATAGGCAGCACTTAATCAATGAGAGACAATAGTCCTGTTCTTGTTACTACTGATAGATAGACCTTGGCTGTTACTTCTGCGGTCAGCAGTTAGACAGACGTGAGCAGAGCAGGGGGGATGGGGAGGGAAAGGAGGTCACCGGGTGGAAGGCCCCAGGTGTCCAGCAATGGACAGCTGTAGGGTGGGACCTAGCGTCCAGGATGACCTTTCTTCCCGCTGCCCTCCAAGCACTCTGAACCCAGTCGTCCGTGAGCTTGCTTCCCCCTGTGCTGTCAAAGGGTGACCTGAGCTGCAATCTCCAGCACCAACTAGGGGGATTTTACTGAAAATAAACCTTAAGGAGCTAAAATGTAATCGCCTGGTACACAAAGAATGCTGAAGATGAGTGAAATGTGCTTAGCCCGAGCCCGGGGGCACGGGAAGCACTGGGAACCTGAACCTCACTCAGGAACCTACAGGCCAGCTCTTGAGAAAGGTAATCCCCCCGCCCCCCTCCCCCAAGGATTCTGAAGCTTTGGCAGGACTATTTTTAGGCCCTCTGTGCGCACCACAATCATTTAAAACATCACACCCTACTCCAAGCCAGAGCAGCGGCCGCGGTGCTCACCCATCTGATGGCAATGGTGCTTCCTGTTCACCGGGCCCCATACCTACAAACCGGCGCCAACAAACCGGGCTTTTCTTTTTGTGTCTGTGTCTATGTTGAGGGGTGGTGGCAAAGCGGCTCGCACTAAACAGAGGGCGCAGAGGCCCTGGGGAGAGGACCGCCTGCCGGGAAGGGCTTCTGCGCACACGCGACGGGTCAAGTCCTCGGCAAACACGCGGGGCTGCGGGAGGGAAGCGCTCCCGACACCCGCGGCGCTTTCGGCAGGGCACGGCCGCGGGGCGCGGCT